GGCATCTAAAACCTTTCCCAACTAATTATGATTCCTAATTCCAAATTCCAAATCTACCATCTAATTATTACCTACTCTTAGTCCATTTTAATGAGTGCCAAACTAAAATTTAATTACCATAAGCTAATTTAATAGGATAAATTTTTATTACATTAAATAACGTAAAAGACGCTCACATGTAGACTCAAACCTTATATTTATCACTTATATAATAATGTACTAACTATTCGAATGTCTCAACAAAGATATATAATCATATATTTATCACTTATGGCGGATTGGAAAAAATAATAATATTTTTCTTTCCCTTTTGTCTAAATTTTAGTTTCCTCTGTCTTAATTGGTATATACCCATTTGATATTCGCATTTTCAAGTTTTTCATGTCATATACCATGTATTTTTAATAACAAAGTTGAATTTATTATCAACTTTTATTTAGGTTTATACCTATAAGGAAGACAACATTCATTTTGCAAACCTTTAACTTTTATCTTTCAAAATTTGAGTTACCTTTCTTTTTCAAATATGAAATGGTTTTTTTGGATGATCATGTCTATCACAAAAGTTGATAAAAACAATAATAAATATGATGATCATGTCTATAACAAAAGTTGTATTTATTCTTAAATTGAAAGTATGATTTTGGGACATATGAGATTGGTCCTTGGGCAAATTTAGTCCATGTCATATTCAATATTATTTGAATAGAAATCAATCTCTTTGCTTCTAAAAGGTTGAGACATGTTTTCTTAAGGTAATATTGAGAGAGAGTCTGACCTTAAATTTAAATAGAGCTTGTTTTGAGATTTTTTTTTTCAAGTGATCTAATTAATTTATTATTTTTAGTGGAATATAGGCAACTTTACCTTTTCTTTCATGTAAGCCCATGTTTGTGTTTTCAAAAGCATTTAATTGAAGGGATATTTTGAAAATATTATCTTTTAGTTTTTAGTTTTCTTCCCTCACTAAATCAACATTTAAACATATGGTACATAAAGATAGTTTCACATGCTCATTTTTAAGCTTTTATATACTTGACTTGATTTATTGTAGTCATACAACAATTCAACATATGCATAATGTAACTCATTATAAGATATCAAAACGAGGCAAATTACATCCATCGCTTCCTTGTGCCATTAGAACATAATTTGTTGGTTGTTTCTATATCTCTTCATAGGCATATATGATCTTCTCACCATAAGTCACAAGTAGTAGCAATAAGGTTAAATCATTGACCTCGTGTGTGGATGTGATCCTTAGATTCCAAGCTTCTAAGGATCTAAGGGTCTTACAAGCCATATCATAAATAGAAATAGATTTATCAAGAGTTTTTAATTGAGAATTGGATTAATATATCACCAATATATTTCATTGTTTTATCATTAAAAAAACTTAAAAGTATGCCAAATATTAAAAATGGATTTATATGAAAATTCAATCATACTCATTTTGACCTAAAGTATAATACAAATCAGATTATAATTAGAAATAGATTTATCGAGAGTTTTTAATTCATTGTTAATATTTGAGAATTGATAAATACATCACCAATATATTTCATTGGTTTATCATAAAAAAGCTTAAAATTATACTTAAATAAACTTACGCCTTTATGGTAATCTTAAAAGTATGCCAAATATTAAAAATATATTCAAATATTAAAAATGGACATATATGAAAATTCAATCAAACTCATTTTGATCTGTGTTACACAACATCATTGTGTTCAAAGACTAGCAAAGGGCCAATCAATCTCGTCTGCCCATGCATGATGTGCCAAACCACCGATTTAGTTGAGATCCTCATGACTACAACAACCATCTCTTCTCTTTGTTGAATGCCTGTTAATTTTGCCTTGGTTTCTTGAGTCATGTCAATGTTGCATTATGCTCTATATGTTCTTGTTTCTTGAATCGCACTGTAGGCCTTTCTCATCCAAGGAGAAGGTCAGCGGTGGTTGGACATGCTTTGCTGATTCATTTCGTAATCTACTCGGAACAACTGCCATCGGATTTGCTTAGATCGACTAACTTCGATCAAATCTGACATGCAACTCGTAGTTAGTCATTGTAACCACCAATCTTTATTTGTGTCGCTACGACGCTACGCATGTGAGTGATTAAAGTCAGTATGCCTTAATACTCTCGCAAGTCTCAAGCTTCTATTGTATCCTATATGAGTGGTTCAAATCAACACGTACCGAAGCCCTCATGTTTTTATGTATCCAACAGCCTATATAAAAATGGTTTAAGTTAGTACATCCCAAAAACTTCATGTAATCAAGTTGCATTTAAGTTAATATACCCCATACCCCCGTATATATCATTCATATGATATCTATTATGTGAGCAGTTCAAGTTGACATTTCTTAATATCGTCATCTCATGTGCCTAATAATCCTTACATTTATGTTCTTGAGCATCTACACATCTCAGTTGCCTTACATGGGTAAAACATGCTAACATTACTTCATCATATTTTATGCTGATAATATCTATTAAGTTCTTGAGTCAAATATTATACTATAATATAGGCAAGCCGAGCAAATGATATGACTATATTTGACGAGCAATGAGAAACTTATTTAGGCTCATGACACCCAATTGGTTATTGGAGCCCACTTAATGACTAGATCATGTTGCGTCATCTAAGCTCACATAAATTAGTTAGATGAAAAGGTGGCACCATAAACATATCTAATCAAAATTATATATAAAAATTAATATTCCTTTAGAAACTTTGGCTGAGAATATTAAGGGAAGTGATATGACATATTTTGGTATTACTCACGTGAACCCAGACAAACAAACACGACGATGCAAATGTGAAACTTCAAATCCGATGTGACGTGTAGCACACATGTGGTGGGCAACCGCTTGTCGCCTCCTCCATACAAACAACATCATCACGGTACAATTGTCTCGGAAAGCTCGGAGCGACGCCACGCGATGTCGATCCGTGCAGGTCGATCGACACTCGCATAAAAGCTTAAGCCGGTCGTAGTTAATTGACCCTGTACGACCAACTCATCCTCGTAGTTAATTGACCCGACCCGACATCGATGTGACTCGAGCATCCGCGTGGGCAATCTTGTGCATCCAGGACTAGATCAAGCCATGTTGACACCTCGATCACGACGTAAAGGTTGACACCTCGATCAAGCAAAATTGTGTCAACAGGAGCCATGTTGACACAATTTTACATAATCATTTAGCTCAAGAAAGAAATACCATAAAAGAGAAAACATAAGGTGGCGACTAGCTTAAACAAATCTAAGGCATCATCTAGTTTGCTGACATGACACATTTTTGGAGAACAAGCTAGTTTGACTTCTCTATATGGTTGTTGACGATCATTTTTATATTAAAATTATTATCTTATATTTTGATGATAAAATTAATTGATAAATTTAATAAACTATTCTTATGTCAAGATAAATGATACATGAGATACTTAACTAAGAGTGCGGACAGGATATATGAGGATCAATTGTCAAGTTGAGAATTGATATCAAGCTAGGGGATCGAACATCAAACAAGAAAATAAATGTTGATCCAATGGATCAAACATAATGTTAAAGGATTGAAGTCATATAATCAACTAGCATGCTATAGGATTGATTGACATAGGATTGATTAATGTATCAAAGGATTAATCGGAGCCTTGGTAAAGTAATTAGGCTATGAATAAGTTGCTATTGGACTAAAAATAGGCTTTCACTAAAAATGAGTAATGGTAATGATGATAGATAATTACGGTGGTGCCATATTCCATGTTTTAGATACTTTTACTTTAGGTTTATTCAAAGCCTTCAAAAGAGAAAGGCATTAAGGTTACTTGATTTTAATCCAAAGAGTATGAGCGAGATAACGAAAGTCGATGATATTTAGAAATATGGAATCACTAAAGACTTTTGTTTCTTCCATTATGTTATTTCTTATTTAGACACTTTCTCATTAATTTTACAAATTATAAAAAAATTAAGCATATTTGTACTAATTTATCCCCAATTCTAATAATGAGAGCAATATTCTCTCATCTAGTTTAACAATTAAAGAAAATAATGATATTCTTTAGTAAAGAAGAGGATCACTATATTATGCATCCTTCCATATTCAATAAGATGGAATACATATTGAAATACTCAAATGACCTATTTTTTACTTTATATTTATTTTGATATTTGAAACATTATCAAATTTGATTTTCAAAGTCAACGAAACTAATGCATAAATATAATGATTTTAAACAAATAAATATTTTTCATTGAATGCTAAGACTATGCATGACTTATTTGTTTATTAAAAAAGTTCAATCAAATTTTCACTTATAAGAAATCTTAAATTAATATATTAGTAAATAATTATAAATTATTATTATAATTGAACCAACTGATTTACAAATATTATGAATGGGTTAAAAATAACTTGATAAAAATTACTGTAATATTAAATCTTTAAGCAAAGTTCTTAAGCAAAATTGACCATAGAAGAAGAATAGAACCAAAACATAATTCTACACAAAGGACTCATGCAATCATTTAATTTATGATATGAGATACAAAGGCACACAGAAAGTAAAAAAATAAAGTTGCCATCTCAAGAAAGGGATTATACAAGTGAAATCAAAGGCATAAGGTAAAAAAATAATTGATAAATAAATAAATAAATATATTTTTATGTTAAAAAAAAGTAACTTCAAAACTAACTCAGAGGATGAGAGTTTGAAATCTCATTCCACTTCTTTTTTTTTATAAAGGTATTAATTAATCTAACTAATAAAGATCTTAATAGTTTATCATAAGATTCTCCATTACATTTTTATATAAAAAAATTTTACTTAATATTTTTTAATAATCTAAAAAGATAAATATAAATTATGATTCATTTACTTTAAAATAATTTTGATATTTAAAACATTGAATATGTAATCCCTAAATATATCATTATTTACCTAAAATCAATTTAACTCATCATATAGAAAGCCGTCAAAACTCTTTGTGAACAAAAATCAATTAGTGGATGGAGAGGGATGCAACTATTGACTTTTTAGTCTTACGGGGAGGAAGTGGGAGAAGAATAAGAAAGCGGCGTATGCGGCACGGAGTCATCGGTGCCGGTTTCGGAATCATCAATACGCTGCAACTGGCTCCCCCGCCGGCTCTCCAGAACCGTCAGCAGAGCCTCCGCCTTGCTCTTTCCCCTCGCGCTCACCCCACTGTCGCCGCCGGCCAGAGCCCTCACGGCCGCCTCCGCCCCGTCCACCTCCCTGACGTCCCCCACCGCCTTGTCCCCGCCGCTCTTTACCAGGTTCAGCAGCGCAGCCGCAGCGTTTTCCCTCGCCCTCCCGCTCCCCCCAACCACCAGATCCACCAAGACGCTGACGCCGTCCACCCTCCGGAACGCCTCCACGCTCTCGTCGCATCCTGCCACCTGGGCGATCACCGCCGACGCGTCCTCCACCAACCCCCTCCGCCCGTCCTTCACCACCAGCGCGAAGAGGGGCGGCACGGCGCCCAGCTCGACGAGGGCGGTGCGGTTGAGCGGGTAGAGGGCCAGGCCGAAGAGGGCCTTGAGCGCGTCCTTGATGGACCTAGTCGGCGCGCCGGGAGCGCCGAGGAGGTCCACGAGGGCGGCGATGAGGGGCTTCTTTGACCCGATGACGGAACGGTACGCTTCGACGGAGAGGAGGCTGTAGACGGTTGCGGCGGCGTGCTGGGCGGCGGCGGGGGAGAGGAGGCGGAGGGCTGCGGCGAGGGCGTCGAGGATGCCCGGGGTACACATGAGCGCCTCGCGGGCGGAGATGGAGAGGTTGAGGAGGGCAGCGGCCGCGTTCTCCTGGGCCTCGGCCGCAGACGAGTGATGGTGGTGGTGGTTGAGGAGGCGGGCGGCAAGGAGGGGCACGGCGCCGGCGTCGGCGAGGGGGGCGCGCATCTCCGGGTCCTGCTTCGACAGGCGGCGGATCTCCGCGATGGCTTCGGCAGCGGACTTCGATTCCGCGGCGACGGAGCTCAGGCGCTGCACCAAAGTTCGGGCCTTCTGCTGCTTCTCCTCCATCAATCGCCCTCCCTAACCCAATTGCTCCTTTCTTTATTATGGACATGGCACGGATGAAGGTGTTTTAGTGGGAGGCGTGTCCACTACAGTAATGGATAGTGTTGACTTCGCAATCGTTGAAGCTTTCGCGGAGTTAATGGTGGTATACCTTTTTGACCAGTGTTGTTGGGATGAACGATGCAGTCCTATGGACTTTTCTGACATATTTAGTTGTTATTTTATATGTTTTGGGGCACATAAAAGCCAAAAACAAATTGGAAGCAGAGCTATGTGTTAGATTCTGTGCGTGCCAGCCTAGGAAATTATAATTAAGTATTAATCATATTTCTTTTATTTTAATGGGGTGAATTTTGGATCGATATTTTTAATTTATTAGCCATAGCTTTTGCTTGGTGACTCAGAATTTATCTTTCTCATATGCACTCACTCTATTTATTGTTTCGGAAGGTGTCTAATGCAAATACTAGAGAAATCCTCGGTCTATCTCGTTCTCTTTGCATCAAAATCTTTGTCACGACTCATGAGATTATGTTCTATTTTTTTAATAAAATTATGTGGTATTAATTTTTATTTATTTTTTTGAAAAGATAAATATAAAATTTAATCTTAGGTTCTTATGAGCTATAATAGAAATATAATGACGTAATGGACACCTTAGTACCATATATGTAATACTTCAATGTTATATAATTGTTACTTCAGTGTCATGTGCTAGATACCTCAGCACTATATGTTCAACACCGCGATGTCACATTATCATAAACAAATTTGTACAAAGAGTATTCGATATAATGTTTATGTATGTTAGTATCTTTCGATTTTATATACTTTGCACAGAATGTAAAGAGTTGACAATAGGTTTCACTGTTCCATTTTGATTAAATTTTATAGTTATTTTAGTCCTATAAACGCAAGTTGTGTGAAGTGACAAAGGCACAACTGCTCAAAAATAAGTTATTCAAATAGTTATTTTAGGAGTTTTCTTACTTCGTAGAACGATACAAAATGTCAATCAGTAAAACACTATATAGTTACCCATGTAGCACACGGTTGGATAAGCCTTTGGAGTATTTATCTAGCATTGATTCACTATCTTATTTTGTAGTAGTATTATATGGGTACTTATGGGGACTTTTGGCTGCAATGGATCACCTTGAATCCTTTATCACATAATCGTTTAGAGCTTGCGAAATCTATGTTTATAATTTACATTTCCTATCAAGTGTATGCTGAAATGTCTACTTATGAGATCTCGAGTAAAATATTTTCTTTGACTCGTTTTCTCTTTTGCAAGTTCTTACGGGACCATAAGAGGTTTCGGGGAGACTAACTCTTTGCAGATAGACACACAAGGGTATCACCCAACTTAGAAAAAATCAAATAAGTTCATGACACATGGTATTAGAGTAAGACAAGCATACTTAGAAATAGTTGATATGGAAATGTGAGGGACCTAGCGAGGCTACGATGAGGGTAGCCAATATATATGACTGTTTGAGGGAAACAAGCGTAGTGACGTAGGAAAATGAGTCACTTAAATGAGTGAAAATCCGAGATTGACATTTAGAGAAATAGCCAACCATTCACATGAGAGGCATTACAAGGACACGCACGCTGGGAAGAACGCGTAGTGTATAAAGGTTGGAATAGTTGAGTTTGAGCTATGACTCAATGTTGGAAACCAAACTTGATAGTGCTTAAGATAAGAATAGCACTTGACAAAGGATAAGATTGTATAAAGAGGGATAAGTTGCTCGGTGATTGAAAGAGTTATGCAAACCTCACAAAGGTGAGGAAGATTGCTAACTCGAAAAATTTGATACTAATGTAAGGACTTATATATGAACGATAGATTGTTTATGGTCATCCCAAGGTAATTGAAACTCGATGATATGGAGCATAAAAAAATTTTCTTCAGCATAAGAAGGATATGTCCATAGGAGGCTGAAGTGTACAATATGTGTAACATGTTACTAGGTCTTGAGGGGCACAGTGAGAGTTATACTAACGAAAGAGTCACAATCTAGCAAGTGTGTTCATGGTAACGAAATAGTGCACAGTTTTTTCAACAAAGGTGGAGTAGTCCAAGGGGATAGTGGTGCTAGTCATAGGTGCCCAACAAGCCAATCACGTGAGTGATGGCACGTGTGACTTGATACAGAATCTTTTTGATTATTATATTTTGGCGTATATCACTTTATAACTATTGCATAAATGCATATATATTGTGATGTCCTTGGATTTGTGCAATGAGAATCGGATCGTGATGAGATCACAATAATGAGATCGATTCACCTTTAAACACATATCCTAAATAATCCCGGTCATAGGTTACTCGAGAGGGACATCGTGATAACCGGATAGACTGGTGTGCTGTATACCCGTCCATATGATGGATGCAGCTGGTCTCATAACTGCTCGTGTAGGGACACTAGGGATACAGTACAGGTGCTCATTGGAGAATGAGTTCACTGA